ACTTTAGTGATATTTCCAGCATTAATCAATAACAATCAATGTCCTTAATCGCCTAGCTACTTTTGGCTCATTTGGTTAGAGTTGCGTTTGAAGTTTTTCTTACATTCTTCATGTACATTGTCCGGGATACATCGATTTTGTACAACTCAGATTTTATATCTGTATACGCTCCCAATGTAATGATGAAACAGCACATTAGCACAGTAGATTTAATGATTCCGTGAACACGTGTTCGCTACAAATGACAGAAAAATGATTAAGCTAAAATCATTTCTTGCTTATAATCGCAGAACTATCGGGTTTATTTTGAGGTAGCCTTGACTGTGATTCCTCGAGACCAGTGTAAGGTTTTCATCACCGAAGTACTGCTTTTCGTACCTGCTTTTATCGTTGTCACACAATGTTCATTTCTGTTCTGTCCACTATTCATCAGTACTTGTTTATATTTCATGTGTTCGCTTGTAATCTTCAACCATTGCATCATCCCAGTACATTGACGACCGGTTGCACGCTTTCACCATGTGACAGTGAGGTTACCTTCACTCTTGCCACACACCGTCTTTTCACCCAAGCCTAACCGTGCTATGTGCACGTGTTCTGATGTATCCGTGTGGTTCAACTCTCTTTGTCTTAACCTGTTATCGCGTTCAGGGGATCAGGTCAAAGCGTGCGGGTTGTGTAGTCGCCTTTCATTCTTATCATTTGAGTGGTTGGCTTTACTCCGGGTTGCTATGACGATGGCCTGCGTTCAATTTGACTGATTAACTGTCCACAAAAGTTCCGGTTCTTCACGACGACCCTGGCCTGGTCTTCTTAATCTCATCTGTAAGCCAATGCGAACCTGCCTGCGTCCTGACAAAAGCCAAAGATTGTTGCTTACGTTTCCCCCGTTGACATTTCAACCAACTACCGATTTCTTTACCACCACCACAAAATCGTCCGCCCCCCTCATTCTCACCTCGTTCGTCCATTTGATGCTATGTCTTCTCAGCACATCCCACACTCACTTATTGTCAGTTTGTTCCCCCAGCATTCGACAACCCGATTTCCCTCATCCCCTTTTGTCCCTAACTCGCTGTTTGCCTATTGGTATGCGGACTGGTGGTACAGACACGCGTTCAGGTATAATGATACGGTCTAACAGACGGTTATCGAGCATACATTTCGTTTTGGATTTCAGCGTTGCGTGCACTCGTAAAAGGCACAAAACGCTTCATTACGCTGACTACACGATTTCATTGAATGCGCAATCTGTTTGCACATGGAATGCTCATGGAATAAACAACAAAATTTTGTGTAACCTCCAAACGTTAATTGTAACATATCGTAAGTGATGGTTTTTAGCTTTTTCGAATGGTTTAGTCACATTCTAATAGTCTGTTTTTCTCTCGCCAAAAGTGGTCAATAGAATAAAGCCATCCTATTTCAATCTGCTTTCGGATTTTGACAATTCTGTTTTTTTTTGTTTTACAGGCTTTGCTGAATTTCGCATTGTCTGTACTGTTCATGTCGTTTGGGTTTTATCCCACGGCCTACTAAAAAAGTCACTGATCAAAGCATATTTGCCTGTTTCGTTTTGTTTCGGTGCTATAGCATGGAGTCTGATCTCACTTAACTACTGTCGAACAGTGTAGTGGGTGGTTATGTTCGAATCGCACCACCAGCGTCCAACTTCCCCCAGTGTTTGTTGTTTGTTCAGTCTAATTCACTTTACACAGTGGTGGATTTGGTTGCTGTCTACAGCGTTTAGGAGTAGATGGAAACAATAGAAATCTGTGGGCAGTACCAGAATAGAAACGCATAAGACAGTTAAACTAACTTTGCGAATATGCCGAGTAGATGTACAGACATCGCTTTTTACAACACTTAGCCAAGTCGCATATTGTTCCAAATCATCGATTTGTGTGATCCAAATGTCTGGCGTGACCAGAGTTTTTATTCTCTCATGCCAGTTCCTGGCTTGATAAAACTTCATGTTCTTCCACCCACTAACTGCCTCGTCAAAAATCGCACACAGAAAAATCCTAACCAATGAAGGTCAAGCATGTACTGCGGGGTTCTATGGGATAGTAGTTCCTAGATCAGTCGCCTCCAATCCCAGAATTTGTTTGTGCGTTATACTGTTAAACAAAAAAGGTTGTACAAAACCACCTGTTCAGTCACTATCTCTCAAGCGTCCGAGCACACACATAATTCGTGGTCTAACTTCCTTGTCCCGTGCATGGAAAAACTTTTACCGTTCATCTCCAAGTACGGAGTTCATTTGAACCATGTATCCATCCATCGGAGCGGTCAGTTTTTCTTTGAGTTCCACATCGCATACGTTTATGCAGACGTTCTTCTGCCCGACATTTGATACGGATACTAACCCTCATACGATATGTTCCACCCAGTTTCACTCTAAAATTTGAGTAACATATCTGTCAGAATCGATTCATAAATTCTTTTTTTTCATGACCTACGTACAGTAGTGATTCGAATTTATCCGCATCTGTGTGTGTGACCACATACAGTGAACAAAAGTGATTTATATATTTAAAATATGAAATCGTTGCTCTATATATTTATGAACTGAAAACTTGTCAATCCGTTTCGTCCTTGGGTTACTGAATTCTTTCACCGGTTTGACAGTCATAGAGGAGAGTGGAAATGCGCGAACGCAGATATTACATCAATGAGAAAAATATAACTAAAAAGGTCGACGAATTTCTCTGTGAAGTGATCAAAATGAAAACATTTCAGATAGATTGAACAGTTCAATAAGGTTAAAAGGTGGAACATCAATTTCTGAACACTGATTCACTCTATAATTAAAACTAAGCTGCTTTTTCATTTATTAGTTTCTCTTTATGTTTGGGTTTTTGCGAAACCGGCTTGCGTTCCGTATTCTCCCACTGTGAATCATGCCCCACACCGAACTGTTCTTACTCCGTTGTATATCTTCTCTCTCTCTCTCTCACACACACACAATTGTACACCCTCTTCGTTCGCCTCACTGTTCAGCGATGATTGCTTGTAAACGTAGAGGTAGTGAACTCTGAAAACATTCTCAGTAAGACAATGACAATTACGGGAGGATGATATGTTATGCAAACCGATCACATTATAGTATTCGTTTATTCACTCATAAGATACCAGGATCATGCTCTTCCTCAGTTAGATTGTATGGCTCACAGTGTATTACTTTGCTTTTTGCTTTGCTTCACAACATATATAAGTTGAATAACCAATTCCCCATTGCAGTTAATTACCAAAAAGAGTACCAAGCGTGTTTCACACCCAAATTGAACATATTGTTCGCAGTGAGGTATCTTGACCCAGTTGTTATTGTTTTTATCCAATGTGGTTTCACAGATACAAGGGCCGTAAAACAATGCACTTAAATGTTGATCGTCGATTATGGTGTAGCTCGTAACCCGAAAGTTTGTAGTTCGACTACCACTTGGGACACAAACATATGCATTACTGATGAGTCCTAACGACAAGGATTAAGTTGTTCAATGTTCTTTGTTGGCATATATATATATATATAATATATATATATATTATATATTATATATAATGTTCCAGCACCGGGCAAATAGCAGGTCAACGAAATAAGCACTTGTGTTAACCACGACCTAGGAGGATGTTGGTTTTTTGTGTGGCACACAGCTCTATTTCTCGCTGTAACGAAACAAGGGTTTTCTCATTGACCTCAAGCGTCGCTATCATAACAAATACACATTCTTTAATAGCATCCTAACCTATTCCTGATCCCAAACTGATTTATTATTTCAACACGTAACCAATTACATGTAATTGGCAAATGTGCCNTGTGCCAAAACACATGAATAAAAAATCTGTAGAGTGTGTTTATATGCGGTCCGGGCATGTTACTTCCCGGTTGTCCTCACCGAGGAAACGGGCTAACATCAGGGTTCCCACCCGAAGCCGTTGAACAGAAGGCCAAATATTTTTATATTTTCATACCTGTCTGAATCCAGACAGTGTGCCAAACAAATCATAGTACAATAATCTTTATGAAAAAGTAAGACGCTCCATCATTTGCATATGGGCGGAATACTGCCAGTTTGCCCAGGCCAAGGCAGATGAATTTTCTTAAGGAATTCACAACCGGAGCCTTTGGCTAATCAAAGCCTGGCTCGCAAGGCAGCGGGACGGTGTGAGAAAACCGCAATCCATTGGGGGCCGGTGTCCAGTTCATCGGATAATTCGCCCTTTGGATGAGGTCAAACATCCAAGGTGCCCAATACATCTCGATGCCCAATTGAGCCGGTGACCGCAGTCACAAACAACAAGGTATGGGTGTTTGTGGTTCGGACGCCTCTTCTTGGTTGGTTTGGAATCAGGGTTTTTAACCAACTCCATTAGATGAACTACCAGTAGTTCACCAACCTGGTTATTAGTTCAGTTCAGTTGTTGCAACCATCAACCATGCACTTTCGTGCGCCGGTTTTGGTGGCCCATTTGGATAAAAGAGCAGAATGAAGATTGGAATGTTGAAAGCGAATTCAAGCGGAAGATGGAAAATTCACATAAAGTGGTGTTAGGAAAATAATGGGTGGATGCACGAGCGCCACTGTTTGCGACACCCAGCCATATCACTCAGTGTCTCTAACCATCGGTGAACATCATCTCAGGACCTGGTTATAGTTCCAGATGTCTTTTCGTCCACTCACTTTGGTAGAAAAACCCCTCCGTCACGGAAGGTAGTGAGTAGGGCTTCCTCAGCAGAATATACTTGAGACGCTTGGACATAGGACATTGGGACATCTTGCGAGGTATAAGGGAAAGAGGACCAGGTAGAGCCCTAGACACCAACCATAGAGAGGTTTTCGGAGGTTGGAAATGTGGTTTGTCCCTCTGATCTGATTTCTGTAAAAGGAAACAGGTGGAATTCACAAATATTTTTTTATGATTTCTCGTATTGTGTGTGACTTTTTCAAGCACTGGAGCTCACATTTCAGTTTCAAAAAACATACATGCTAACCGTCACAATGTGCATAATCAACGGGGAGGTACGTTTTTATAGACATGGGGACATTTCATAATCCAAGGTTAAGACGAAGTTCACTTACTGTCCACTCTTTTTTCTTCTAAAACCGTTCACGAAGTCAAGTCAAGTCAAGAAGCGGCTTTAATTCTCCCTATAGGGGATGAACATTCAGCTACTACACAACCACTCTTCTTTGGAAATTACATGGTAACAAAGCGTATGGTGATACGTTACATATACAAAAAGCCAATTTAGCAAAGGTTTTGTCTAAGAGTTCCAATGACAAGATCAGCGTTGGTAAGAAACCGTGCCAGGTACGGTAACTACACTTTTATCCTCTTCATCATCAAGTTACCATATATAATATTTGGTACTAATTTAAGGTCACTGTGAACTGCTCGCTCTCGTGGTGAACTGTCTCGTATCGTACAACAGATATAACCGTTATTCGTTGCATTCAGATATGCACCACGTTCTGTTGCAACTCACTCAAATTGATCTCCCCCCCCCGCTTTCGTATCGTACCTACGTTTTCACTTCACGCATAATTAATTCTGCCTATCTTCTGTTGGCCAAAATAGGTTCGATGTGCCATGAACTATTTGTGTTACCCTTTGCTGCTAGTACTATCATTGTTGTTATTTTTACCATCAATAGTTTAAGTGTAATCATTCGCAACTGATATGATAGTCAATGAGGTGAATGATAGCCATATGCTCGGTTATCATCTGTGCAGTGGATACTTCTTTTGTCATTTTTTATTTTTTTCACGAAATCATGGCCTCAATTTGGTCAGATTTAACTTGTACCATGCGTGTCTTTTTCTCCTTCCTATCAGATGGATTGTTTCACCGTTAGATTTTCATGTAGAAACTGTCTTCCTTCTTATCGTTTTTTCTTTGAGTTCGCATCCTTCTTTAATTCATAACCAATCAACTCTGAGGAACAAGGGTTCTGATGGATGCTATTCGTGGAGAGAAGGCTTCCGTTTGTCGAAACTGTATCGCTATACTTCAGGACATGTTTATCTGTTTCGGGGTTAACCGTTGATTAGTCGTCTATCGAGTTGGTTGACGTCATGTCCCGTTTATGCATATACATTTTGTTTCCTTCCGCTGTCTGCTATTCGCTTTGTTGGAGGCAGCTGATTCTGTGCTGAACGATAAATAGAAACAGCTTGATTTTCACTTATCCTTATCTAACTGGTCAAATCAGTCATTTTATTACGTAATAGGATTGCCGAGTTTGCGTTTGGTGGTGTTTAAATTCTACACATCACTCACTATGGAGCGTCACGCTGTCCTATTTTTCTATCCTCGACCAATTGGCACTGTTTTCGATGTCGTCTATGTGTACCAAACACCAAATATTTGTTTATTTCTCTGATACTAATGTACTCTTCCGTTGTTTTTTACACATTGACAAGCTTAGCCCGGACATTGCTTCTTTTAGTGTTAGAATGAGAGTTCCTAAACGAAAATTTGGGATCAAACCTGATTTAATGCATTGGGTCCAGATTACTGTGACCTCATTTTGACTGCTACAATATTATCCTGTGTCTTTCATTTTCACCCCTCGTAGGGTCGTTGGACCATTGACAAAAATATCGGCTGCAAGCTATTGTCATGTTTTGGGACATCAGAGCAGCTTTCGACCCCATCGACCACCCTTCCCGTGATACGGAGTACTCGAAAATTTTGTCTTGCTTCCAAACACATTCTATTGTGAGACTTCGGGGAGGTTAGGGCATATACTGAACTTCTACCCTCGTTTTCTGTCACCAGTGGGATAGGACAGCGTTATTCTATCCTTCTGTTTCTCTTAAATTTGGCCAGAGATGATGCCCTGCAAAAAGGATAAAAACGCTGGGTTGATGTTCTTCCCGAATACAAAGTCGTAGACTTAGATTATACCGATGATATTATTATACTTGGTGATAACGCAACGGTGATTCAAAACACTGAATCACGTGGCAGTTGACGTTGCTCGGTATGATATGTGCTTTACATCCCCAAAGGACAAGGTGTTAATGCAAGATTGGTAAGACCCTGTTTCTGTACTTCCTTTTGTTTACGATATCCTGTAGATACTCAAGAGCTTTGTCCATCTCAAGATTTGCATAATGGCTGACAGAAATATGATTGATGAGTTCACTCAATGCCTAATCAAAAGAAGATGGGTGTTTGCTAATCTCTGACGTCTCTGGCGCCGGCGTGACATATCCCTTTTACTGTAAGGGCGTCTGTAGTGCACAATGGTACGTTGCTCTACGATAACAAAGCTTGGCCTATCTGAAGGGGTCATGTCCGAAAGCTATCTGTCTACGACATGCGTTAATTGAACGGCACCGCCCGTGTATAGTAGGAGCATTGCGTGAGTACCGATTAGGTCAGACGTGTTTTAGGGCCAGATAGTATTCCTATGAGCAAAACCA